TCCCGGTTCCTGTCGTTGCCTGGATATCACCAATTCCAGCAATTTCAGAGGAACTGAAATTTCCCATCTTCACCGATCCAAAGTCTCCAGCTTGGTATGTTGTGAAGTATTTCCTGTTGGGAGTAACGTGATAGGATGCTGCAGTATCTACCACCCATTCCATGTCTTCTCTTGAGACATGAAGGCATGTCTCACCATGAGTAGAGCAATATGCTACATCACCTGAGACAGTGATAAGAGTTTCACCACTCTTGCCCTTGTTCTTCTGCTGAGAACTATTCTTCGGCTGAGTGTTATGAACATCCCTGAAAAAGAAGAAGAACTGCAAATGTCGATTGACGAGGAGGTGGTGAGCAAAATGGCGTTTGAAGGGTTTGGAGGCGATAAGGCTATGTCTGAAGATGAAGTGAATTGGGAAAGTGGAGGAGAGAATGACATCTGTCGCAATCTCGTGAGAGCTGAAGATTAAATCTGAACCGCACACGTGTTGCCCATTTATCTGTTCATTTTCAGGAGTTAATTATGTATTTTTCTTTATTTTTCCTTATTTTTCAGCAATTGGGATTTATGTATTTTGGGCCCACAGTTTGTTATTTAAGTGGGAACATGCAAATGAATGAGCACGTTTATGCAACAGAAATATTCTCTTTCTCTCTCTTCCCTCCTTTCTCTCTCTATCACTCACTCTTCCTCCCTTTCTTCTTCTCAAATCCTCCATTAAAATACAGAAAATTGTATGTAATCCTAACCAAATTACATCTCAACTAAGCTAGATCATTACAGTTGGTATCCAGAGCCACAGCATCCTCGGAACATGGCTGAAAACACACGCTTGAAAGACCTGCTAGAAAACCAGAAACGGATAGATCAATTACTCCAAACAGAAGTTCTTAAACGAGAAGCTTCAGAGCTAAAATTGAAGGAGCAGGTGGACATCATAGGATTGTTGATGAAGGAACAAGTAGAAGGAGTAAAAAATGAGGTGCAGGATCAACTTACCGGGGTTCATAGAAAATTTGACCATATATCCAACATCCTAGCTTCCATGCAGTTGCAGCTCCTGAATTG